TTTGGTTTTTTTTTTTTTTTTTTTGAGTCCCTATTTACCTCAAAGTATCATGACCACTGATGTCACAAGGGAAGACACGAAACTTATTTTTTCCCTCAAACTGTTACAAAATCATTCCAGAAGAGGGATGAGCTTATTTTCCTCAAATCTCTATTCATGAGGGAGGGGAGGGGGGAGGGGCCTAAAGAGTGAGGGAAGAGTTAATGCTTCCCTAGAGAGTGAATTCCCCTTGCCTTTTACCAATTCCTCTGCTCAACTCCTGCATTCACATTTTGCTTATACTAAAAGCATTCACAAGGGTCAGATTATGAAAAGTTTAACTTAATTTCTTAAATACTGCTTTTAACCTGCCACCCCCAGCTCCCAGTGACTACTGCAGTAGTTCTCGAAGAACTATCATTTTCAGCTAGAACAAATAATGCATCAACTATTTAGTTTGCCCAATTAATAAGATGTCTTCTGATCTTCTGAAGAATGTTTTCACCCACACAATTTTTTTTAGAAAAAGAAGAGGTTTCAAATTCCCTGTACCAGAAAAACCCTCATTAAAAATGAATTTCCAGCATGAGATGTCAGAGCACGGACAAATGCTCGACTCTGACATTTGCTATAATTCTGTTGATCACAAGCCTTTCTCATAGAGCAAGGAAGGATCCCTTGAAGCAGAAAAAAAAAAGAAAAAGCAGATGTTATATGGAAACTAATATCATTTTTTTACATGACTCAGTTGAATAACACCTTGGGAAGAGTACTGAAAATTTGTTTTTAGTATTGGTTTCCTTCTTGGTGGGGTTTCTTCGGGGAACTGATTAACCAACTCATTCAAAACTTCTTAACTCAGTTATTTCTTTTAAAGAGGTCATCTACTTTTGCCAGTGGCTCAAACTTGGGGGCAGTACTCTATCTAACCACAATAAAACAGGGGGTAGAGTGGAATTACAGGGATACAGGGAGAGGCAAGCGTGTTTGCTAAAGAGTACCATAACTTCAAGTACACTTAATGCACTAAATTTTTAAATACACCTGAATTATATTTCTCCTTCTCTTCTTTAATGCACAAACGTAGGAAGAGTTTTTACCTACAGCTCCCAAAGAGACCCAGGGTATCTATAACCTGGGGAAGTACTTGGAATGCCACCTCACAAATTAGAAAAATCATTTCTGCCCTTAAATCACAATGTTTGTTGTTATCCCAATTTATTTCATCATAAATAAAATATGGAAAGTGGGCCTTTAAAAAATATCGCATTGGTTTTATCTAGTGCATGAAAAGATCAAAAATATATTTCCAATGGAGAAATGCTTTGATATGGATTTTCCATGACTATACAGGTCTTGTGTGAAAAACATAATGTAACCAACCTGTTGGAAAGCCAGAAGTGCTGTTTCTCTAGAAAATCAAGCACACCACCCTTGAAACTATAACTCTTCCTTGAAAGTCTTTGTGATCCATCTCATTATGGAGTGGGGTTAAAAACTACTAACTGATTTGACAGAAATCTATACAACAGCATGATCATCATATTGAACGCCTGCAGAAATCTTACTCTAATAAGAATTCATCACATCTGAGAATTTGAAATTTAAAAACGTAGTAGGGATTCAGTTGCAAGTGAAGTTAATTATGGTGCATGCTTATAGATTGCAGGTTAGAAAGTCATCGAAAATAGAGACAACTTTCAGAAAAAAGCAAAATAGGGTTCTTCCCTTAAGCCTTAAATAAAATTTAACGTTAAAAGGTCAGTATAACATGTCTGCCTTTTAAAGAGTAGTAAGTGATGCACTAACATCAGTGGCTAAGGAGACAAATGCAGCAGGCTTAATCATGCAGGCCTTCAGCCCCTGATTGCAAGAATAGGGAATCATGTTCCTTGGTGGGGAGGGGGGAGGTGAATCAAAATTCACGTTTCACACATATAGTCAGATTTTGAAAAGTTCTGAAAAACAGCCACCCAGGTCGACCCCTTACCTTGTTTCTACCTCATGTGAGAAATAAGCTTAACTTTGATTATCCTTCACGTGTTTGAGAATAAAAGAAAAAAAGTTGAAAACAACTCTAAGTCAAAGACTTTGAAACAGGTAGAAGTATAAGACTCTAGACGCTTTTGTATTTTTCACACATGTAGTTTCTTTTCTTTTTTTTCAAAATTACAGTTAAAATATCTATGCATGACTACACTTTTCTATTATTTTATAATTTAATGAGTCTAGCACAGTTATACTTATCCAAAGAATTTACTGTGTTCACACATTTTAAATTTTAAAAATCTAGAGATAAGCAAATGTGAATGTGAATTTATTAAGCTTTTAAACATTTGAAGAGGCACAAAGATCATATAAAATTTAGAGGGTAAGAGAAATGTCAAATATAAACAAACATAGAAAAGTGTTTTTTAAAATGATGTGTGTATATCTAAACATGGAGTATCTGTGCTACCAAATTCCAGACTTCAACATTAATTTAAATTACTTGTTTTACAAAATTAAATAACTCTGTCCTGATTTTGTGGTTCGAAATCCAGATTGAATGTCTTTCTTCCCCATGGAGTCAATTCTGATCCTCTTTTATCTGAATCTTACCTACAACCTTTCATTTTTCCTGGAACACATCAAAATGTTTCAGAATTAGACATTACGCAAGTGAAATGGATACATTTCTAAATTTGCTTATCCTGTTTAGTTTTGACAAATATAAACTTGTTCCCCTGCTCTAGGGAACAAGAGCTAGAGAAAAATATTTAAAGACATTTAAGATATATTAATGAAAATGGAGCTACTATTTAAAGTTTTTAAACTAATTATATGTGATATTTCAAAAGGATAATTCATTAGTCCAATCCTCTAAATAATCCCAAAGTAACAGGAATTCCTCTGTAGAATAAATGTCTATAGAGAGTAATCCACGGAAGACAGACAAGCCTCTTGTCATTTGTAGCCTTAATCCATTGCCTAGAGCATGAAAAGTGCTCAGGATAACAACTGTGGGAATCAGTAAAATCAACATTATTTTTGGATTTTATTTTCTTAACAATACTGACTGATCAATAGGCTTGCGGAAACTGACAAATACAATACGGTCTGTTTGATGAATCAATCTAGTGAAGTGGAGAGAATCCATCCACCCCTTCCCCCATTCTCCCTCCTTTAAATCCTCTTCACCCTCTTCCTCCTCCTCCACCCATCCACCCCTCACTTTTCCCACCCCCCAATACACACACAGAGACAGAGATGGAGGGACAGACAGAAGGAGAGAGGGAAAGAGAGAGATGCTTTACCCCTATTGGTATGTAGACATTAAGTCATTAAAGCTGTAGTGGCAATGCTTAGATCATTTTTCACAGGAACACTAAGCCACTTTCAGTAAGTGTTTATGTTTTTGATTGCAGGAGACTCACCCTCTTCTTTCAGTGGAGAAATTTCCATACTATTGAAGTAGGTTCTCTATTCTGTGTTTCAATTGTTTGTGTCCTATGGGTGGTAGGTAGAGCAGGGAGAGTTGAGGAGTAAGGAAGGGAAAGTTCTGTCCTACTAACTTTTATATATCCCAAAGCCCAAAATCCTATAAGGATATCAGCTTTGGGGAAAATGGAAAGAAAAACAGAAGAGGAAATTGAAACACCTCAGACAAAATGTCTATTTAGGAAAGAAGTAGTGGCGTGGGTATGACTGCCTGAACACATGCATTTGTGTGCGCAGAAAATTTAGTAACCCTCCACCAGCTCACGAAGACACAGAGATATCATCTTTATGTTGGTCCTTGACACTCAGCAGGGACTTTTGTGAACTTTGTCGTCTTCCTCTGCCCTTTAAACCAAAACTAAGGAAGTGGTTTTAATTAATGAGATGTGATGCATTAACAATGTTAGCCAGAGCATTCCAGAAGCTGGAAAACCATGGATGTTTTTAAATTCTGAGTATCCTTTTGAGTTGTAATTTATAATTCTCAGTGGACCTATATTTGTCTTGACCTGATTGTTGAAATGGGCTTTACTAGGAATTTCTTCAGTGAAATTGCTGCGGGGCGGGGGAAGGGGGTAGTTGAGCCAAGGGGGTTTCTTGGGAAGAGGGAATGCTCTCTAACAAGGCTTTAAAACCTTCAGTGGTTAAAGTTATAATGGTGAAAAGATATACATATATGTACATATGCATATGTGTATGTAATCATATGTATATATATACGCATGCATACATGCATATAAGGTACAAGTTCAAAGGAATTATATAATGAGTTATAAATTATGTAGGTAGCAGAATTCAGATTTTTTTAATCAAAATTGCACCTAAAAATGGCTATAAAACAACGCGTGCCTTGGGAAGTAAATTTATAGCTACATGCCTTTCACAGGCACGCTGGAGGGTTCTGCTCCCGGCTCTAATCTCTAGGAGATGTTTTTTGCATGTGTTGTGTGACAGGAGGGGAAGGGAAGGGGAGTGGGTTGAGCTTGCCTGGTCTCCCATTGTCAGCCAGTCTAGTGAGTGTTGGGAAAACCTGTCTGTGGGATCTTGTGTCATCTCTCCCTACATGTGTACAGGAAAAGTCCGCGCTGCTCAGGGTTCCTCTCTCTCTCTCTCTCTCTCTCTCTCTCTCTCTGTTTCCCTTTCATTCTGCTTCCCCGGAGCCGAATGAAGCAGAGAGCAGGATTAGAGTCCGCCACTGGCTATCAGAAGAGCCCAGATAAAAGGAACTGCTTCTTAAGCACCACTGCAGCAGCCTTGTTCATTTTTTTTTCTTTCTACACAACAGTTGTGCCTCATTATCCGGTGCCTGGCTCGATTTTTTTTTTTTTTTTTTTTTTGGAGGGTTTGAAGTTTCTGTGCTTCAGTGACTGTTACAGAAGAAGAGGTGTTAGTGTTGCCGTGAGGTCTTGATTGTCTGCATTTATGAATGAAACTGACCTAAATCACCTGTTACCTCCAGTTTCCAGATTGTTTGAACTTCTCTGGCCACACAATACAGGAGGGAAGGCAGAAGCAGCCCAGGCACCTCCAGCGTCTGCAGCATGGGCTGGTTTGCCAGGATTGTCTGTCTTTTCTGGGGAGTAGTACTTACAGCAAGAGCAAACTATCAAAATGGGAAGAACAATGTGCCAAGGCTGAAATTATCCTACAAAGGTAAATCTTTATTTTTCTTTTATTTCGGCTAGCTCTATAATGCCCCCCCACCCCCCCCACCCCTGCCGTTTCATTCCTTGAACTCCCTCCCAAGCCAAATCATGAAACCCTTTAGTTTAACCTGGGAAACCTATGTGATCCTGTGTGTCTTCCTGAGATGATTTAAACACTTTTTTATAAAAGCATGTCTCCTGTTTGATATATGACAATTTAAATGCAAACAAAGAACATTTAATCACATTTGCAGAGAAGAGCTGAATGCCTGGGTAAATGCTGATCTGTGTATGCGATCATATGTTCTGTTAATTTTTCTGACTCTACTTCTATTAAAATATCTTTTAAAAGCGCTGTGGCAAAAATAGTCTCTTTGTAGAATGCCTCACCTATAGTAATTGTTGTGATAAATTGTATTTTCTTAGTTTGAGGCACTAAATGGTTAATCGTCATCATGAATATTCAGTTTGTTCAAATCTGACAATCAGATGCTTAACATAAGCAGTAGATCATGGTTTGCCAAGAGAATATAAACTGGAGGGAACAGACTAGTTTTTCCACAGTGTGTTATGATTGTACAAAAGGCTGTGTATTTGGCTAATTGGTGTAAAGCTAAAGCCTTTGAAATATAATGTTGTTTAATTCCATATGTACTTCAGTGAGAACTGAAGGAACATTACTTTCTGGTTGTAGAGCTAGTTGTGTGAACTTCCCTTCAAAAAGAGTTTAAATTTAAGAAAGAATAAAAGCTTCAGCACATGATTGCTAGTACTTTATTTGGTTACAGCTTAATGCAAATGCTTGGTTTTTAATGAGGATTTTAAAGAAATATTTGTTCTGCATTTGTTCACATAGATTTTATAAATAGTTGTATAAAACATGCTAACATAGATTGAAAATAATATATATAAAAAACTTTAAATGAAAAAGAATGTTTCTATAACTGAGGTGTTAGTAAAATGGAGTTGGAGATTAAAATGTTTTAACTCCAGTACTTCTACTCCCTAAGGTGTTGCTTTCTTAGGATTCTCAGATTTCGGGAATTGGGGGTGGGGCAGTGGGAGGCTTCAATTATATTCTGTTTTTAGCCTATAATGTGAAAGAAAATCATTGAATCAATCTGTAGAGATGTCTGTCTGCTGCACATTGTTCTTATGCCAGAAACATATTCTTTAATTCTCACATGATGGGGAACATCTCTTTCTGAATGCTCTAGTGTGAATGAGGATCACAAATAGGAAAGAGAGATGTAATTTTCACACTTTGGATTAGAAAATTCAACACCTATTAAATGTGTTTATTTGGAATTAATACTTGCTAGATAAAATACATTGGATTGAAAGATACATTTATTTTTGGCATCATAGTTTCTTGGTTATTAAGATGGGAATGGATTTAAGATATTAGCAAACAGAATTGCAATTGTACTCGTCATGCAAGATTCTAAAACATTATCATATAGCCATGAAATATTTAATTAATTCTCTATTCTATCTATCTCTAGCAACTGTCTTTAAGTTATTTTTATAGAATATGATATTATGGCATGTGCATTTTCCTCAGTCTTTGCTTTCTATTTCCATTCTTTGGGAGGATGGCATAAATAATTTTTAGGTTGATGGTCAATTTTATCTAAGTTTATATGCCTATGAGTAAGTTTCACATGCAAGTTTAATTCTTGAAGATGTAAATGGCTATATGCTATAACGGTAGAGTAACAAAGTTGAAACATGCAACACACTTTAAAAATCTACTGGAGATACTGGCCTAAATGCTAAATAAGTTGTAAAATAAAGAAGAGTTGGGAATTATATATATTTTACAAGAATTTTATTTCCATGGTGGTTGAATACTCTCCATTATAGAAGACGTACCAGGTCTTTCTATATACAAACAGATAACATTTAATCAGAACAGTCCTTTGATATGTGTGTAGGCTTTAAACTTGTCTGAGGAAGTAAGTTGTATAAACTGACAATATGCAGCTATATGACACTATCTTTATAAACCCTTTTTAGAAGTGGCATCCATTAGAATTATTCCGCTTTTCTTTTCATCAAAAACTGCTCTACACCTACCTAAGAATTCTATTGATATACGTAGGGCTTGGCAATTTGGTAAAATAAACTGTGAAATGAACAACAACAACAAGAAGAAAAGGAATGGCCCAAGCAATTTTTCTTCTGTCATTTTATTGGTCTGTCATTACCTTTTTACCCCTATATGTACACTTGTTTTGCCAAAGCAAATGCCTGGTAGCCAATTGTCAGTACTTTGTTTCTAAACTATGATAGAGATTTTTTTTTAGCTCCTTCTTTTTTCTCCTTAATTAGATGTCAAACACGGTTAAAACATCCACTGCTTTGCCCTTAAAAATATTCCAGCATGATTCATGAAGAGTTAAATCCCTGCCAACCCTAATTTCCCATGGTCACTTGTTTTCAAAGATCCACCATTAACTCTCTCATTGCTCAGGTTGCCAAGACAAAGTTTCAGGCAATCACTGTGCTCACTTCCTACTTGTCATCTTGCCTAGTAGGAAACGAAAGAGATTTGATACGTTAAATGAGAAAGAAAAAGAAGAACAAGAAGGCAGCCTTGATAGTGGATGCACATATATATCTAATAAGGTACCTCTTTACTTTCTAGGAAAAAGGGATTGAATAGATGTGTTCAGGACCATCTGGAGAAGTGATAATATTAGAAAAATGGGGTATGCTGGCTTTTCCTCTGAACCAATCTGATTTAGAATCCTTGTGGGGGAAGCAAATGTGAGAACTCTGTAAATCTCAGCAGTCACATACAAATTATCCTCAAGAAACATTCACTCGGAGATACTTTTGCCTTCCTTAAATGTATGTAATATAGTTAAGTGTTAAAATGCTTCTTTTTTAAAGTTGATGTGGAACTGTTTATTTCTCCTGCAAAACTAGTCAGATTTCACTTTTCTCATGAAATACCAGACTATCATATAATCTTCCTTTTGGAATGTGTGGTGCAATGAAGACTTCAGCAAAACCTATGGAAATCACAAGGAAATAAATTAGGTTTGGGGTTTTAAACAACTGACAAATGTTCCATCACTCAATGAGCTTTTCCAGGACATTGTGTGCTCCAGTTTTAGTAGAAATCAAAGACACATGCAAGTCTGAATGTGATGGTTATCATGTGAATCCAAAGGTTAAATCAATGTCTTTAACTTTACTTTCATAGGGAGGACTTAGTAAATAGCATTTAAAAAAATGTTTGAAAGACTTTCTTTTCAGAGTTTGTAGATTTTTGCCCCCAGAGTTGTTTAATTATTGTTACAGTGAGATTATCAGTTCAATCAAAATTCTCACACGTGTCTTCCTGATATTGGAGGAAAATATTTAATTAAAAATTTATAAAATACAATTTGCAAAAGCCTTTTTATTTGCCATTGCTCAATGCTTTATGATTGCTTCAAATTTAATTAGTATGAATTATTTACCAATTAAACTTGTTGACTTTTTAGAGATTTTTCTTCACTTTTACCAGAGTACAAAGAAACACATCCATATATATATAGATATAGATATAGATATAGATAGATGTGTATGCATATGAATATATGTATATATATGAATGACAAAACTTTATGTTAATACCTGATAGGGGAGAAAAGCAATCTTGACAAGCTACAATACAATTGTTACCAGTTAACAATGACATTCCTATTTTATATTATGTATGTATGTATTTATTTTAGAGTGGGTGTGATCTTTTGGGTCCCATGAAAAGTCCCCGTGGATATATCAAGAATTTACATGCTTGTATAGGATGTAAAATGTCTTATCCTGATAATTTCCTTGCAGATAAAATGATAAGTATCAATTAAAGGTAGAGGAAAATATATATATTATATAGTGTGTATTTATATATTATATACAATATGATATATTTATATATTATATGTTTAATATATATTCACACACAATGCAAAGAAGTTATAAATTCTTTGCAGTATCTTTTCTCTTATAGTCACTGCATATTTAACATCAGGTCTTTGACTTGCTGATTCTTATTTCACATGGCCTTTTCTTCTCAAATTTCTATTAACTTTAAAAATCATATTTTAATTCTGAAATCTTCAATTTCAGCATACTGAAAACTAGAAATTTGTATTCACCACTCAGAAAAAATATACTCTGGAAAAATAATAAAAAATAAAATAAAACAAGATGCTCAGTTACACATCTTGTGATCCAGTGCTGGTCAGATCACATGAGGGCTAGTGAAAGTCTCCAATTTGGGGCTTCTCTGTTGAAAGCCACCAAGGAGACTGGCCTTTGAAATAATAATTTATACAGTGTAGCATTTAGCTGGCAGAAAACTAACTGATACCACAAAACCATGCCATGTAAAATTCTAGCCCACCAAATCTTGATAATGATATTCAATCATTATTAGCTCAAATAAACATGAATACTGAAGAGAAAATTTTTCCAGTTATAACTTTTTTATGTTGGTACTTCTCTTCATATAAATTATTTACAAGACTCCATTACTGACAGTGATATAAAATACCTGGATATTTAGGCAACTAAATAGATGTATAAATCTGTCATAACTAATTTTTTTGTTTTCTTACTTTTCATTCATATATAAATCAAAGAACTTAATTAACACATATGCGGGGATTTGGGGCCAGTTATATTTAAATTTTATATTCAAACATCTATGCAAATGAATGATCTATCAAGAACAAATTTAACTAAAATTAATTAATATGCTCACGTATGTTCCTAGTAAGGAAATAAAACTTTTGCTTGCTGAGCATAATCTACTTATGCTTAGTGTGAATATCTAATTGTAGTTCAAAAATGTAGGTTAAATAACGTACAGTGTTATCAGCAGTAAGAAATTGTGTGGTTTAACATCTTATCCCAATTTTTCTCATTCAAACTTCAGTGACACACCTGCATGTCACTAGTCAAAAGGTCAAAATATCACACCTTCTCATGCTTTGGAGAATTTTGTGTTTA